GGCTGAGAAGAGTCCTCTGATTTTCAAGATCTCTTCCCGCTCCACCTGTTTGCTTTCCAAGCAGCTTTGGTGTCCCCTCCTCCCAGATCCCCCTGCCCACTGGCCTCGAAGGTGATCCGTGAATGACGCCGCACAGCCAGGTCCGCGATGTTAACGCGGTTGAAGATCACGTTTTCCATGCAGCCTCGGAAGTTATGCCGATAGGCGAGGTTCTTCTGCGCGGCTCCTACCAGACCTCCGATAAACATCTGCAGCAGGAGTGGGGAAAATAAGGACCCTGTGCATAGGGGCGCGCTTGCCTTTCTCGTACACCCCCTCTAAGACTCTTTCTCCAGCGCTTTAGAAAAGACTTAAAGAAACATTTCCCCAGGGTCGGTACTAAAGCTTGTGTGGTGGCTTCCCGAGGTTTGGGTTTGAGCCCTGACTCCACCACAAGTTGGCTGTACCCCTTGGGCAAGTCAATCAACCCGTTTTAGATTCTTTATCTGCAGATCCGGGACAGGGTTTATCAACCCCACAGAATTGTGGGAAGATCCAAGGGGACAATTTTCCTGTCTTGCTTGTTCTCCAAACTCTGAATTTCTAGACACCATCTCAGTAGTGGGGCCCAAGACCAAAATCCCCAGGTTTTTCTTGGCAGCAAGTTTGTCAAGAGAGGCTAGGAGAGAAGGAGGGAGGCAGAAAGGGAGGGAAATGGGCGGGAGGGGAGAGAGAGAGAACCTCCACCCACTCGCTCAGCTTCACACCGAGCCAAATGGCGCCTCCCCGCTCACCTCCGTGTCCAGGTTTAGCCTCTCAAAGTCTCCATTGAGCACGAAGCGCTGTACATAGCCATCCAGGGTGAGATTTGCTTCGCGGCCATACCGGTCCACACGCACGTAATGCCAGTGCTGGTCGTTGAGGACGCCGCCAGCGCTCACTGTCGTGTGACCCGGCCTTGGCTGGATGGGACTGCTGCCTGAAGGTGGGACGGACGGGACTGAGTGAGACCTCGAGCCTGAACTCCAGAGAGCTTTAGCACCTGTCCAGGAGCAGTCACCTGGGGCAGTGTGCTCCGGTGTGGAGCAATCGCCATTGGCGAGCACGTAAAGCCATTTAACCTCTCTGGGCCTCATTTCCTACCTGTAAAACTAGGGCTACGATAGCTATTTGTATCTTATTACACAAGTGTTATGAAAATGAGATACAAAATAACTCGTGGTGTGTGTGTGTGTGTGTGTGTGTGTGCGCGTGTGTTTACAATGAGCCTACCGAGGCCCGAGGAGTGCCTGGTCTAAGGTCACACAGCTGATAAACGGTAGAACCGAGACTAGAATCCAGTTCTCCTGACTCCGATGGAGTCCACCGTTTTGCTAGCACAAAGTGCTACAAGAAAAGGGCAGTTTTGTAGGGTGCCAGTGGCTTGCGTCTGTAATCCTAGCTACTCAGGAGGCAGAGAGAAAGAGGATCACAGTTCAAAGCCAGCCCAGGCAAATAGTTCCTGAGAACCTATCTCGAAAAACCCATCACAAAAAAGGGCTGGTGTACTGTCTCACGATGAAGACCCTGAATTCAAGCCCCAGTACAGAGAGAGAGAGAGAGAGAGAGAGAGACACACACACACACACACACACACACACACACACAGAGAGAGACAGAGACAGAGACAGAGACAGAGAGAGAAGCAAGCAACAAAGGGCAGTTTGGTCCAGACAGTAAAGGGGAAGCGTGCGTGGGCGCGGGTGCGCATCAGGAAAGCGGCACACGGTGTCACCAAGCTCACCCAGGCTCATGTGCAGCAGCAAGTGCGCCCCCTGCAGCTCAAGCGTCACGTAATCGCCCTGGGCGCCCTCCGCGTGCAGCAGGAGTCCGTCCTTCTCTTCGGTCTTGAAGCTGAAAGCGAACACGTCCCACAGGCTTCGGCTGACCCCTCGCGGGAAGCGGTACGAGATGGCATCGTCGCCGTCGAAATAGAGGATGTCCGACTCTGCGCGAAGGACCGTAGGTGGGCGAGGGACCGGAGACATCGTCTGTCTCCCGGGCTCCCTCCGCGATCTCCGCGATCTCCGCACCCTTACTGTAAGGGCAGCCGTAGAGACCCAGGCGCAGGCCGATCTTGCCGCGTGGGTTCCACGCCAGGGGAACGATGCGGATGTAGCGTGCGGTGAAGTGGTAGTGCAAGTCGTGGCGCACCACCGCCGACTCATTCACGTTACCGAAGAAGGTCTGCGGGGGGCGGGTAGGGTTGAGGAAAGTAGTAACCATGTCCCCAACCTTCTGCTCCGTTTCTCCACAGCCTCTCAGGCTATGGTTTTCAAGGGCAGGGGGTGGGGGCACTCCTTAATGTCCCCTGCTTGGCTGTTATGCGTACACAGTTTCCTTAACCTAGCGTGTTCTCACCACCATCCTATTATTTCCTCAAAGCCCAAATCAAATGTCACCTCTTTCTGGAAGTTCTCCCAGAATTGTGTTAAACCCTGTGATCCCAGAGTGTCTTGCACTTGTGATGAGGTGATAGTCCCACTGGACTTAATCCCAGGAGTGGAATCAGGCCCTCACCCCTGTCCCCTCCCCTTCTCCGCAGGCTATTGCCCAGCCCAGGGCCCTGAGCAGAGGAGTGTGCACGCCTGGGCGCCAGGAGTACCGCGTTGTGCCCTTGCTGGTAGAACGGCGTCCAGCTGTCCACACGGTCGCCGTAGAGCAGCATGTAACGTGTGACCCAATCCCAAGAATTAAAGGAACCCTGTGTGGCCACAGCTCGGATCCGGTGCTTCTTCATTAAGTCTATCTGGAGCCAGGGATTCGGGTCCCCAATCCGGGGCGACCATCCACTTATGCCTACAGAAAGGGCAAAGGCTTTTACCACCCACCACCTTCTCTCTGCAGCCCTCCCGGGTTCCCCACCCAGTCCCCTTCCGCATGCTCACCGTGCAACCTGGCGAAACGGGCCGTGGTGAAGAGCCCATAGTAGGAGGAGGCACCCAGGGAGCGTGCATACAGGGGCCCCACAAGCTCCTCATCGCAGCCATCTAGGGTGAGAAAATGGACTTGTTAATCAGTGTGGCCCTTCTTGGGCCCTTCCAAAGGCCTGGCCCATTGGGCAGTCAAAGCTCCCTCTTTTCTGCCCCCCCCCAGCGGACCCCAGCCCTACCTTAAAGCCATCCATTCAACCTGGGCTGCAGCAACAGCTGCTTGCTCAGGAGAGGCTGCCTTCTCCTCCTAGAGAAATCCTTAAGCTGGATCTATGGGTCCACTACCAGACCCTTCTTAGCCCAGTATCTGCCCTGGTTCAGTACTCCCTCAAACACAATCCCAAACCTCAGCATGTTTCAGAACCTAAATCAGCCCAAAACACCAATTGGTCCCACCCATCAGCCCCCAAACCTGCACCAACCCCAAATCCAGACGTTGCTCCCAACCCAGTCACCTCCCAATCCCAGACCTAACACTGTCACTGGCTCCATGTCCAGCTTTGGCCTCAGTCAGGGTCAACAATTCCTTTTTGGATTGGAGCCATAAAACCCAGCCCCAGCCACAAACTCAGCCCCAGCCACAAACCCTAGCCCCTGGGCCAGCTTCAAAGTCCAGCGCCAGCCCCTGGTAAAACCTTACCCCTAGCCTGGGTCACCAGTACAACACTTATGTTCAACCCTAACCTCAAATCCAGGCATCAGTTCCCTCTTGGATTACAAACCCAAATCCCTGCCTGGGTAGACTCTATCCTCGGCTCCCAGCCCAGCCCCAGTCCGGGGCGCGCGCAGCTGTCTCGGAGCTGCATTGCGGAGCGCGGGGGAGAGGCAGGAAAAGATGGGAGCGAGCGGCCGCGCGCCGACCGGGAAGGACCGGCGACCACCCAGCCGCAATGCGGTTCGTGACCCGCCCTACAGGCTCTGGACTCCTGGGCCCCACCCCACCTGCCTTGGAGCCCAGCACTCACAGTAGCCCCAGCCCCAAGCTCCCGAGACCGCGGCGGCGAGCAGGATGATGAAGAGCCCGAGATGCATCTTGCAGGGCTGACCGGCCCGGGAGGCCGCCTCCCTATGCCCGGTTCCGGCTAGGGATCCAGTGCTGGCTCAGGCTCTCAGCTTCCCTCCTGGGGTTCGCAGTAGACTGCTGTCTTTTCTCCCTACCCACCCCTCCCTCTCTCTTTTTTCCCCCTGAGCCTGTCTGTCTCTCTCCCTCTCTCTCTCTCTCTCCTCTCCTTTCTCCTCTCTCCTTCTCTCTCTCTCTCTCCCCCTGGGTCTCCGCTCTTCTCTTTCCTCTCCTTTCCACCCTCTCTCCTCTCACCTCCCCTTCACAGCCTGGCTCTCCCAGCACGCGCGTTTTCCCAGAACCCGCGCAAGCGCGCACCTCAGCCCTACTGCGAAAGGGCGGGGTAGAAAACCTCCAGCCATCGGGAAATCCCCCCCCCCTCATGTAACCGGAGGCTGGCAGGGACTGGAGCAACAGAGATGGCGAAAGGGAGTCAAGAGCCAGAAGGATCCTGAAAAATTAAAAAAAAAAAGAGAGGAGGAGGGAGAGGGGTAGTTAGAGATGAGATAAAGAGTAAGTAAAAGAATAACATTTTCTTAAGGCCAGTAATGCCCTAGACTCGGTGTGGGCACTTTCTTAACACTCACTATGGATTCAGCATTTTTATCTTATTCCATTTTGCAGATGAAAAACCTGAGGATCAGAGAGGTCAAAGGACTTCTCGGGATCACACAGCTAGATAGCACACGATGGTATTCCAAAATCCATTCTCGGGGTTGGGAATTTAGCTCAGTGGAAGAGCGCTTGCCTGGCAATTGTAAGGCCCTGAGTTCGGTCCCCAGCACCGAAAAAAAAAAAAAAAAAGCAAAATCCATTCTCATTCCACTGGCAGGGAAATCCTTTTAAGCGAGGTGGAATGGAAAAGTGAGCCCCACAGACCCTAATCCTCACCTCCTCTCGGTCCTTCTCCCCGCCCCTTCCTTCCTGTTTCGTTAGTTATTTAACTTCTATCCCCTGCGGCTATACCTCAGAAACCCTTGTAGCCAGAGATGGGGACGGAGCCCACAGAGCAGGTGGGAGTGGGGGCAGGGAGGGGGAGAAGGGTTTCAGAAAGGGCGGAGAAGGGGAAGGGGTGGGATTTTCTACCTGACAATGGGCCTCGGCCATCCTATGCCCTATACAAGGGCCCAAAAGCCTGAGCCCCAGCCTGTGAAGATTCCTCTTGACATGAGTGGCTCAGTGTGCCTATGCTGAAGATAGAGGTGGGATAGGGGAGTGAAGGAGGAAAAAGAGACCGAAACCCACTCCACACTGAACTCGGAGTCCAGGGTCCAGGTCTGACCTATGGCCTGCATCTGATCGGCCTTCCAGGAGAGGGCGCTGCAAAGGGAACAGAAGAGCCAAGGTATATTGATAATACAAACGCTCTATGGAGAGCAAGATGCTTCACATTCATTATCTTCCATATTTCAAACAGTCCTCATTGCAAACCTTGCCAGATGGGCTGGACAGGACTTCTGTTTTCGGCATTACGTATTAGGTAACTGAGATCGAATAAGAGCAAGTTGCTGTTTGCTCAATGTCACCCAGGTAGTTGGAGGCCGAGATAGGAAGGGTGCAAGGGAAGCCAAGGCCTGTTCAGGGGAGTGTTAAGAAGAGTATAGGAGCTTCTGTTTTCTCCCTGTATGCTGTTATCATTGATCACACAGGAACTCTGAGCGTGGAAGGCGTGTGTGGGAGGGAAGGCGACGTGGGAAGATGTCTCATAAGGTCCCTCCTCTCATTTTGACCTCCCCAGGTTTCCTGGGACCCCTACTCCGGGGATGATGAGGAGGCATATTCGACTGAGCTATTGCCCGAGCTCTGCTACAAGGCGGATGTCCAGGCCTTCAGTCGAGCCTTCCAACCCAGTGTGTCTCTGACAGTGGCTGCGCTGGGTCTGGCTGGCAATGGCCTGGTTCTGGCCACCCATCTGGCGGCCCGACGCACTGCTCGCTCGCCGACCTCCGCACATCTGCTACAGCTGGCCCTGGCAGACCTCCTATTGGCCTTGACCCTGCCCTTCGCAGCAGCCGGGGCTATTCATGGTTGGAGTCTAGGAGGTGCCACCTGCCGCGCCATCTCGGGCCTCTACTCGGCCTCCTTCCACGCCGGCTTCCTCTTCCTAGCCTGTATCAGCGCTGACCGCTATGTGGCCATCGCGCGGGCGCTCCCAGCCGGGCGGCGGCCCTCCACGCCTGGCCGTGCGCATTTGGTCTCAGTCATCGTGTGGTTGTTGTCGCTGCTCTTGGCACTACCTGCGCTCCTCTTCAGCCGGGACGGGCAACGGGAAGGCCAGCGACGGTGTCGCCTCATCTTCCCCGAAGGCCTCACGCAGACCGTAAAGGGGGCAAGCGCCGTGGCGCAGGTGGTCCTGGGCTTCGCGCTGCCGCTGGGCGTCATGGCAGCCTGTTATGCACTCCTGGGCCGCACGCTGCTGGCCGCCAGGGGGCCAGAGCGCCGGCGTGCGCTGCGCGTCGTGGTGGCCCTGGTGGCGGCCTTCGTGGTGCTGCAGCTGCCATACAGCCTCGCTCTGCTGCTGGATACCGCCGATCTACTGGCTGCCCGCGAACGGAGCTGCCCTGCCAGCAAGCGCAAGGATCTGGCACTGCTGGTCACTGGCGGCTTGGCCCTCGCTCGCTGCGGCCTCAATCCCGTGCTCTATGCCTTTCTGGGCCTGCGCTTCCGCCAGGACTTGCGGAGGCTGCTACGGGTGGGGGCTGCAGCCCAATGCCTCACCCCCGCGGCGGCTGTCCCCGCCGGCCCCGCCTTTCTTCCTGCTCGGCTCCCACAGAGACCCAGAGTCTCTCCTGGGACAACTAAGGCAACGAATCCAGTGGAAGGGGAGGGCTAAGGGAAAGATTCCAGGGAGGGTAGTGGGAAAAAGGAGTAGGTGGGGGAACCCTAGGTCCTAAAGGCATTGCTTCTGCGCCTTGCTGCACATTAAATTGATAACAAGGAAATGAGATGCAACCCAAACAACTGTTACTATTTTTGAATCACCGACTTGGAAACGATTTGTAGCAGGACAGAGACAGTGGGTTATACCTCCCACCCCACCACCCACCCCACCCCCGCGTTTGAGTCTGAGTGGGAGGCGCCGAGAGTGTGTGGGGGGGGGATGCTGAGTCTGCTAAAGCTTTGAGCACTGACACTCCACTCCCTCCACCTTCACTCAGTCTCTGCCAAGAAGAGGTGAGGTGGGAAAGCAGCCAGGCGAGGAGGGGCGGGGGTTCCTCTTCACATTTAAGGCAGGGCTTTCTAACAACCAGAGCTCTATCCAGTAATGGCTGCCTTAGCAAGTACTGAATGTGCAAGCTGAAACTGTTGGGCTCTGTGTGTGCCTATGCCTGGTGTTGAGGTAAGAGTAGGGGGCAGGAGATTCCCATTTGGGGTGGACGTTTGGATTAGATTACCATTTTACAATCCCATATATAATTCAGTGATAGAAAGAAAAAAGGGGAAAAGTTGAGTTTGTCAGTGTGGGGGAACACGCCTGTAATCCCACCACTCGGGAAGGTGAGTCAGGAGGATCTTGAGTTGGAGGTCGGTTTAGACCGTATCAGTTGGAGGCCAGCCTGAGCAACAGAGTATGATCCTATCTCCAAAAAAAAGGGAAAGAGAAAAGACTGAGTTGGAGTTTTTCATCTTGGAGAAAAACCAAGGAGGGAATTGCAATTTACAAATTTCCAAAGAATAATGGGAGTGATAGGGATGAGAGGATGCTTTGCCCTTCTCCATCTAACGTGGGGAAGTCAGAGGGAATGCACCGAGCCTGCCAGGAAAGAGGGAAGTTAGACATCAGGAAGAACTTCCCTGCAGACAAGGGTCTGGGATCCAGAAGGGAAAGAGAATTTATGACTGTGATGTCTCCAGCCCTAGGAAATCTCAGTACAGAGCACTTTCATCTGAGGCGAAAGTACTGCCAGGATGGCCTCTAGAGACGGAGGCATTGACTCTTGGTCATTATTTTGCACAATCACAACAAGCAGAATGGTGTTCACGTGCAACAATTCTCACAGTTTAATATCCGGTCAGGAAAGCTTTACCCACCGCTCCAGCCTGGAGTCTAGGGACGAAAAGGGCGTGGCGTGGTGAGGAAGTCTCCAGGGAGGTGCTGGCCTGAAGTCCCCGCCCTCTCCCGCCCCACCCAGACGGACTACCAAGAGCCTCAGGGTACAGAGACCGAAAACCTGGGCCTCTAAGGCCCACGATCCAGAGAAGGCCCGAAAACGGCACCGATCCTCCAAAGGGTGCCGCACGCCAGCCCTCGGGAGCGGACCTGGAACCCTCCACCACTGACCGCGGGAATCGCCGCTGAGTCAGCACCGCGCGCGCGCACCCGCTGTCTCCTGCTGTCGCCTCGGCCCCGCCCTGGACGCCGAGCGCCTTGATTAACCCCTTCTTGCTCAGAACCGCAGAATATTCGCCCTGAGGGGCCTCCACTGTATTCGGAGACCACAGAATTCCCTAGGATGCCAAGCCACTCTCCCTAGTCGAGTTCAGTGAGCTATGAGCTCTGAGGACGATTTTATTTCTGGTCTAGGCCTGCACCTTGCCAGAGTCACTGCCTCAGCTTCTTCACCTCAAAAATGAGGTGACTCGGATTTACGCACTGGGCTCCTAAACTCCGGGGGTGGAGGGCTACCTCTAGAGGTGGGTCCCGTGGGCAGGTCCGAGCCCCCACGCGGTAGCTAAGGCTCGTCCCTTTTTCAGGAACCCTGAGATCAGACAGACGAGCAGAGGGCAGCAGTCGGGCTTCCCTCCAGCCCCACGCCCTACGGTCTCCAGAGCTCTTTCTGAAGAGGGTTTTTAATTTGCTGGTTGGTGAACCAAGAGTTAAAACAAGAGCATGAAGGCGGGCTTCCGTGACGTCACTGGCACCCCGCGACCGACCTCAGAGATTGGGGAGTGGTTAACACGCACCGCCCCCTCCCTCCCCATTTCTCCTGTCCCTCCCTGCTGTCACCCAGCCAGGGGCACATGATGCAACCCGCCGCGGTTTCAAGCGTGTGATTGGTGGCCGCGCCCGGCGCCTGGCACAGGGATTGGGCGGAGGAGGCTGTGACGCAACGCGAACCCGGCCTGGTAAAGAAGGGAGGAGAGAAAAAAGAAGGAATGGGAGGGGACCTTGCGGGGGAGGGGGCTGGGGAGGCGGGGTCCGGGAGCTGTGCTCTCGCCCCCAGCGCGCCAGTCCTGGGGCTGCAGGGAGCGCAGCGCGCGCCGCCCGGGTCCGGGCCACCGGACGCCCTACCGGACACGACCCTCCCTGGAGCTTGGACAACTGCCCACCTTGGACACTGCACCGGACACTGCCCCCCACAGGGCTGGACATTACAACGGACACTACTTCCCAGCTCCGGACATTGCTCCCTCTCACTCCCCTTCTCCACGGCCTTGGACGCTTTCCCCCTCCCCCTCCGGGGGCCCAGACATTGAGCCCCCCGCAGGTTCTAGCTAGCGTCTTCTTGCACTCCAGCACTGGACACTGACTCTTCCCAGTCCCACTCTCCCTCCTCCTCCCGCCTCATCTTTACCCCTCTTGGGTCGGAGCCCCGCCAGTTTCTCCAGTCCTCTGCTGCTCGGCTGCGGCTGCCTGCGCCCCCATCCCCCGGCTACTCGCCCGGATGCCTCTCCCCGGGGGATTGTGGTGGCTCCTCTGCTGCCGTCGAGGTTTCACTCTTCTGCACCGGGACTACGGGGACGGCGAGCTTAGCGGGGACGGGGACGAGGACGAGGACGAGGAGACCTTTGAGCTACGGACCCCAAGTCCAGCGGGCGGCGGGAGGGTAAGTCCCAGGGGATTTGGAGCCTTGTCGCAATCCCTTGTACTACAACCGACCGCCACGCCTGATCCTGCTCCAGACTCCAGCCAAACGCTGCCGAGCTCTTGGCGAACTGGGGATGGGGGAGATTCTTTGCCTGGAGGCCAGAGCCCCCGGGAGCTCAAGGAGTAGCCCTACTCAGAATGTGCCTGTGGGCCTCGCGCTGCACACTGGGCGCTGTCCACCTGCTGGGGGCCCTGGGGCAGAGGAGGCGTCACGCGTGGCCCGACCTAGCCTTGCCTCTCCCTTCCCTGCCGGGTCGGCGTCCCATCCCGTCTCCTTCCGCCTCCGCCAGCGCCAAGGAATGTGGCGAGGCCGGCTGGGCGGCTCGAACGCCTGGGTCCGCTCTGCTCCCAGTTCATGAGCTCTAGGGCCAGATGCGGGAGCTGCCACCGCAGGAGCCTGGGCGAGGGGGGAAAGGCATCCTAAGACTGGGGTCCGCGGCGAGGACTCCACGGAGTGGGAGCCGGGGGCTCTGGCACTTTGAGAACCTCTCCTTCTTATCCTGCCGTTCAAGGCAGAACTCTTCGCCTTTCCTGGTGAGGCTCCTGGGAAATCCTGAGGGAATGGTGAGGAACACTTGGTTGCCGGGTTTTGTCAGATCTCCCCATGGGGAAACTGAGGCACGATTAGATTGTCAGCCCTCCATCCCCTGACGTGCCTTCTTTCATACCCAGTGACCAGACTCCCGTTTTCTGTGACCTGGGTCAGGCTCCCATCCCCCGCTCAGGGGTCCCCAGCAGGCCTTGTGGCTCAGTGCCCGGGTGGGGCCGGCTGCACTGTCGGGCAGGCGCCAGCACCTGGCGAGGCAGAGGGCAGATAAATATAGAGGGGAGAAGGAGGGAAGCAGGGGACTGCGATCAGGGGAGTTGGTCTAAGAGGGTGATCTGTACCTGCCTTTGTGGTAGTGTGGAGGATAGCCCTACCCAGAAAATAGGTGCTCCCATGGAAGGTGCAGGACCCAGGTGTCCCCTCAATTCCAGCCTGGGCAGATCTGCTTTGTCAACCACTCCATTGCCTCCCTCGGTCCACCTCCACCCCCTCCTCTCCAGAGCTTGGGGACAGGTGTCTCTGGTCCCCTTTCCTCCCTCCTCCCTCCTGGCTTTAGCAGTCTGAGCACATTGGGACCATGGCACCATTCCTGCCTGGCTTGGCTCTGGGTTGGGTTTTAAGGCCTCTATCAGACTCGGGGCTACAGTTGAAGTTTCAGGGCAGGGGTTGCCCGTGGACTGGGTGTGAGAGAAGGGTAAAATCCCCAGCTACACCTGACCTGAGGATTGTGTGCTCCTCAACCTGACCAGGCCTGGTTTCCTGAGACCCAGCAAAGAAAGGTCTCCACTCACACCTAAGTCTCAGGGGTGTCTGTAGAAGAACATAGCTTTCTGAGAAAGTCCCATACTAAAGGGTCCCTCTTTTTATTTATTTATTTTTTGATGGTACTGGGGTTTGAACTCAGGCCTACACCTTGAGTCACTCCACCAGCCCTTTTGTGTTTGGTGTTTTCCAGATAGGGTCTTGTGAACTATTTGCCCAGGTTGGCTTTGAACCACAATCCTCCTGATCTCTGCCTCCTGAGTAGCTAGGATTACAGGCGTGAGCCATTGGTGCCCAGCATCCCTCTTCCCTTCGTTCATCTCTATGTCCACTACCTGCCCTATCCTGGCCAACAAGGCAGAGTGGGTGAAGGAAAGATGAGAAGGAGGGAGTGACTTCCAGGTAGCCACAGTGAGAAGGGACTTCATCACCTCTCAGGTTTCAAAGATGGGGAAACTAAGGCCCAGAGATGGGAGGAGACCCTAGTGAGTTAGTGATCCAGCTGGTATTAGAACCCAGGTCTCCTAATTCCCTGCCTCCACCCTCTCCACCCCTGATTGCATCTTCCAAGGGTAATGGAGACTAGGCACGAGCTTTGGTTTCTTAGCTTCTGGCTGTTTTGTAGAGTCGTTACTCTGAGACCGGCACAAGGGGCGATCCCAGAGTGGATCTGGATCCGCCGCCTGGTCACTATCCCAACTCCTTGACTCCTTTCTCAATCCCCTGATCGGCGCTGTCCTAAGCGCAGAAGCCACAGGCATTACGCCGGGAGAACTGATGCTGAGCGTTTCCCTGCCTATCTCCCCAGAGTCCCCTGGACGTGACGCTGACCCAGCCGGTGAGGAGCGGGCCGGTCCCGGAGAGGTGAGCCTCGCCTCTGCGTCCCGTAGTTTTGAGACCCGGGACGGTTCCCAGGACCCCCGTCCTCGCTGTCTTCCCTCGCGGGGTTGTGCAATAAGGGAGAGGCCCTACGCCGCCGGACGCTGTGGTTTGGCCGGGGTCCCGGGGGGCGGTCCGGCCGGGGGCGCGGGGAGGAAGGGGGAGTCGGGCTATTTCTGGTATAAGGTCAGAACGGCCCCGCGGTTCCCACAGCCTGGAGGATGGGTGCTCAGCTTGGAAGGAGGCACCCCTTGCAGTCCGGGGAGCCCCTATGGAGAAGCCCCCTGGAGGCGGAGTGGAGGCCCAGCAGCCTCGCCCAACTCTCTTTCTCTGGCCCAGGCTGCCGAGCTGGGAAGAGACCTGGAGCCTCATCCCAGAAAAGGGGCTGCCGGAGGACGACCCAGACGTCGTTGTGAAAGGTGGGGAACCACTGTCAGCGCACCCTAGAGACCCGCAATACGCAATACCAACCCTTCAGGGGATAATGCCTCTTGCTAATCCCCTTCCCTCCATCTCCTCCCAGGCTGGCTGTACCGGGAACCCCGGGGTGTAGGGGCGCGGCCATGGCTGCCCCCACGCCGAGCCTGGTTTGTGCTCACGCGAGACTCCCTGGACCAGTTCAGCAGCAGCGGGAAGGGGGCGAGGCGCCTCGGGAGCCTCGTGCTTACGAGCCTGTGCTCTGTGACTGGCCCGGAGCGAAGGCCTAAGGAGACCGGTGAGACCTCTTGGGAACCGTCCTATCTACCTGGCAGGGGCGCCAACAGACCCTGATTGCCTTCTGTGCCCTCTCTCTCCACCAGGTCTGTGGTCAGTGACTGTGTCTGGACGGAAACACAGCGTTCGCCTCTGCTCCCCGCGCCAGGCAGAGGCAGAGCGCTGGGGGGGGGCCTTGCGTGAAGTGATTGCCTCAAAGGCTCCGCTAGAGACCCCCACCCAGCTACTCCTCAGGGACATACAGGTGAGAGAGTGGAATCCAGTGAGAGCCAGGGGTGGTGGGCCCAAAAGCTTTCTGGGCTCATAAAGAGCTCCCTTCCCCCATCAAGGTAACCCTCTTCTTGGCCTCTAGGAGAGTTGCGGGGACCCAGAGGCAGTGGCCCTAATCTACAGGCGGAACCCAATTCTGAGGCATACCAGTGGAGCCTTGTATGCCCCGCTCCTGCCCCTGCCCTATGAAGTCAGTGCCCCAGGTGAGTGGTGTCCAGGCTCAAGTCCCCTGGATGGGATGGGGTGGATCAGAGGTAAGAATCCAAATGCCTTAACTGCAGGGAATCAAGAGTCTTCAAGGGCTCTTGAAGGTGAAACTTGAAGCTGGCCAGTATGCCTGGGAGAGAAGTCAGAACAGAAAAAAAGGGCACACTGTGACCACTTCCCTAAGAATCTCATTCTGACCACAGATGTTCCTTCAGGAGTGTTTATACTCTCCTTTATTTTTTTCCATTATAGCCTTAAGACCATGTCACATTACCTTTACAAGTGATGGAAAAGCCATCACTTGGAGGAAATGTGGTGGTCTCACCCAGCTATACTTTTCTCCCAAAGGGTATAGTGATTTGCCCAGTTCCTAAACCTAGAGGTTTAAGAAAGCTGGGAGGCTGGGAGAAGAACGCTGGTTTTCTGATGCTCAGTCAGGCTCATTTTTTGGCCCACAATGATGGCTCTTAGTACCCAGTTAGAGAATCTGGGATTTGAACCTAGGTCCCTTTGTTTTTCTCTTTACCTTAATAACTCAAAGTCCAGGATTAGCAGGATAAGGGGAGGGGTTCTTGGGAGGCAAGGGTTGAGAACTTGGTTCTGTGGGACCATTGCTTTCCCTTCATTCTTCCTGTCGTTCGTACCCTCCCCTCCTTGCCATCCCTGATCCCCTTACACTCCCTCTGACCTTCTCCTGGTTCTTGCTTTCCTCCCAGGGCACAGCTCTGTGTTCCCTTTCCAAACCATCCCTCCGCCCCAACCCTCCCGCAGGTCCAGGCTATGCACCTTTGCGAGAGGAGGCAGTGCGGTTGTTCCTGGCACTGCAAGAGCTGGAGGGAGCAAGGCGCCCGGGGCCCCTGATGCAAGGTGTGCTCCAAACCTGCAGGGACCTGCCTGCACTCCAGGACGAACTCTTCCTGCAGCTGGCTAAGCAGACCTCAGGTCCCGCAGGTCCCCCTGGGCTCCCTGCTACTCAAGACCCTGCTACCCTGCGGTACTGGCAGCTCCTCACTTGCATGAGCTGCACCTTCCGACCTGGGAGAGCTGTACGGGGGCACCTCCTAGGACATTTGGAGAGGTGAGAGAAGAGGGGCCAAGTGTGAGACCAAGGCAAAGAAGCTACAGGACTGGGCAAGACAGGCAGGCCTTTGCAAAGAGTTTGGCAAATGTAGAACCTAGATCCAGAGAAGGGAAGAGACTTGCCCATGGTCAGGTCTGGTGCTAATGTAAGCAGTGTCACTGTGGGAATTACAAGATCATATCCCACTTATGACTAGATAAATTACAATAAGGCACCCCCTTTGAGCAGAGCAATTATTAAAAGACTGTTTTCTCCTCCGATGATGCAGGCCAGTGTCTGGGCTTAAGAAGGCTGGGTTTAGGAAAACGTAGGAATGTGGCTCAATTTCAGATTTCAGCCCAGATCACTAAGATGTTGGAAGTGGATGGGTCAGTTGGGAGGGAACTGCCTGGAAACTTTGAAAGCAATTTGGCTCCATGCAAAGGACCGCAGACATTTAGGCTGTTCTCAAGGAGCATGAGTTGGAAAGGAGGAAATTGGCCAAATGAAATAATTTTTCTTTTTTTTTTTGCGGTGCTGGGAAGTCAAACCTAGGGCCTCAAGCATGCTAAGCAAGCACTGAGCAGATGAAATAAACCATAATACAAGAAAGCGAGAGGAAGAGGGAAGAAGATGGGAAGGAAAGCCTTTGGAGCACTGATCCTTGGATTCTTCCTAATCCAGGACCGAGCAGGCACTCCCAAACTCAGAACTAGCAGAATATGCACGCTTTATCCGGAAAGCGCTGTGTCGAACACGTGGCCGAGAACTAGTGCCATCGCTGGCCGAGATTTCCGCGCTAAGCAGACGGCAGGAGCTGTTATGTACGGTGCACTGTCCTGGGGCTGGCGCATGTCCTGTGGCCATCGATTCCCACACAACAGCCGGGGAGGTGAGGCCAGAGAAAGGCCCCGCTTCCGTGACCCGACCTTCTAGTTTCTCATGCCTGGCCCTCCGGGCTCCTGGCTCTAGGTTTGCCCCAAGTTTCAGATTTCCTAATTTCGGTAATGGAAGTGACAGGACTAAGAAGACCTCTGTAGTTGGCTCAGTCCTTTTCCCAGAATCCTGGCAAGAGCCCTGGGTGGTCTGATTTTCCCCTTTCCTTCCCTCCCCTCTAGGTGGCTCGAGAACTGGTGGGGCGGCTGGGTTTGACCCGGAGCCGTAATGCATTTGCGTTGTACGAGCAGCGAGGGGCCCAAGAGCGAGCCCTAGCTGGGGGAACCCTCGTGGCCGACGTCCTCACCAGGTTTGAGAAGTAAATGTCCAGTCCCAGTCCCATCTATTCAGCTTCGGTCAATCGCTAAGCAAATGTCTATCGAGTGCTTGCCACTGGTCCGCTGATTTACAAGCTGACCTCCTACCCGCGGGTGGTGTGTCGTCTGACTTCCAGGTTCACCTCTGTGACCCCGCCCGAGCCCCGCCCAAAACGTGTGGCCACGCCCCCACTCGTGCTTTCTTCAGATGCCGGCGCCTTATGGGCCCCAGCTTCGCTTTTGCATCCCGTCCTTTCCTCTTCTGCAGTTTGGCCTCAGAGGAAGCCGGGCAGGAAGACTCGCCGGACTCCGGGTGGAGACTATGTCTGCGTCTTCACGGACCTCTACACCCTGAGGGGCTGTCCCCAGATGGTCACGAATTGCCTTTCCTCTTTGAGCAGGTGAAGATTTCCGCATTCATGCCTACAAACAGACCCTTAAGCCTGAACCCCTCTTCTTCCGGGTCATCTCATTTAATCATTATGGCAACCCCGCAGGAGACTTTCTCCGAACCCAGACCTCAGATTCCACGCCCCGACAATATTTTCGCGACAATACCGTCGCCGCTCCTAACTGACGCGAGCTGCCTCCCTTGCAGGCTCATGCTCTGCTGCTGCGCGGCCGGCCACCTCCGCCCGACGACACGCTGCGCGCCCTGGCGGCGCTGCGCCTGCAGAGCCTGCACCGGGACTTCTCCCCGCGGGTGCCCTTGCGTTGTCTGGACCGCCTGCTGCCACCCCCCACCCTGCCGCGCGAAGACCCGCCTCGCCCAGCCCCCAGGCCGCCGCCCTCCGCCGCCCTGCTGGCCGGGGCACTCTGGAGCCCGGGCCTGACCAAGAGACGGGCCGAGCGGGCCCGGCGCGGCAGGACGGGCCACACGCCTGGAAGCGCGGTCCGCGAGGGAGGAGGCATGGCGGCTGCGGTGCTGGGCGGCTGGAAGCGGCTACGGGGCATGGGCCGAGCTGAGGCTATGGCTGCCTACCTGGCTCTGGCGGCGCAGTGTCCGGGGTTCGGCGCTGCTCGGTATGACGTTCTGGAGCTGAGCACGGTGAGGGGGAGAAGGGAGAAGAGGTCTCTGGCGGCCCAAGCCCCACACCTTTGCCCCAGAGCCACAGGCCCCCAGTGGGGGTCATTTCATTCCCTTACATCCTGAACAGCTGTACCTATCAAACCCCAGGAGTTACCAGCCTTTGGGTCTGCACCTCCCATTGCCTTAGCATCCTTCCCACATGCACTGTGAATCACATGGGTATCAGGCAGTTCCCTGATTACTGTCATCACCCTCCACCAAAAATAATGCTGCAGCATCCCCTCCTTCCACTTGACTCTGTCTGCAGGAGCCTGGTGGAGGTGCTCCACAGAAGCTATGCCTGGGCCTGGGAGCCAAGACCATGTCCCTCTCCAGGCCTGGTGAGACAGAACCCATCCACAGTGTCAGCTATGGCCATGTGGCCGCCTGCCAGCTAATAGGCCCCCACACTTTAGCATTGAGGGTAGGCGAGAGCCAGCTCCTCCTTCAGAGTCCCCAGGTGAGTGGGAAGAAGGGTTGTGGAAGAAGGGAAGTCAAGAAACATTTACTAAACATCTACCATGCATACAGCTGTAGACACTGGAGTTTCAGCAGTGATCAAAGACAAGTTCAAGGAGCTTACATTTGAGTGGTGGAGTCAGACAATAAACAAGGAATCAAAGACTGAGTTAGAGATAAATGCCACAAAGGAAGTGACTGTAGTGGCCATAGCATTAGGTAGTCAGGGAAGGATTTTCAGAGAGTGACAGAAGGATCTTTATTTTTGACACAGGGTCTCACTATGTAGCTCAAGCTGGTCATGAACTTTAGATCCACCTGTCCTCACTTCCCAAGTGCTAGGAGCATGTGCCACCACACCTGGCTCTAGAGGGTGACATTTAAGATAGCCATAGGAAGATCTGGGGAAAAGCATTCCAGGTAAAGGGAACCACAAGTGCAAAAGTCCAGAGAAGAGTAAATTTGGCATGCTAGGGGAGCAGAAAGAAGTAACAATGCCCGGCACAGTGGGTAGAGTGGTGATGGGGGTAGGGAAGGGTGCCAGAACATTCAGAACATGGTGAAGAAGCTGGAGCCTTAGAGCCTGGATAAGGAGAAAGAAGAGAATCCAGCAACTCCCGTTGCACACTGACCTCTGCCCTCTCTTAGGTGGAAGAGATCATGCAGCTGGTGAATGCCTACTTGGCCAACCCCTCCCCGGAGAGGCCCTGCAGCAGCTCTGTTCCTCCATGCCAAGACCTGCCAGACATCTCCCCTCCCAGCCAGCACCAAAGCCTGGACGAGACCCAGGGACAGTCTGGCTGTTTGGGGCAGCTGCAGGACTGAGCCTGCCAAGAGGTCACGACTTTTCTTCTGCCTTCAGCCTGGGCCAGGACTGCTCTGAGATTTGAGGAAACCATGGACCTTTCTGGCCCTGCAGGGACAGGGTGCACCCACACCGAAGGGCTGCAATGGGTGTGGACAATTTTCTAGTTTGTTTCTTAATTTATTTGTAGAAGAGAACCAAAAAAAAAAAATCCTTATTTACACAAATCCTTCCTGTGGGAGTGTTGTCAGTGGGACAAGTTGGAGCTCCACTGCTTAGAGCTCTGCCCCTGGGGACGCCCACACTATGTGCTTTCAGCAGGCATTGAAGGCAGTCTGGATACCACAGAGCTCCACCCTCCTTGACCTTCTGGATTTAACCTCCTCCCAGCCAGAATGCTGCCATAGGGTAGTGGGTGGGGCAGGGAAGAAGGCAGTATTGGAAGCTGGCAATTACTCATTCTCTCTTCTCTATTGAGTGTCGTAGGGTGGACCCTTGTCATCCCTGAGGCTGGAGGGCAGTGAGTCATCTGGAATGGCACTGCCCATTTCCTATCCTGGTATCCAGCTTCTGAGCTCTGTTTGGGTCCATCTTTGGTTGCCCACTGCTTTGGGACTGAAATGGAGAGATGATGGGGCAGCACACAGTCCTAAGGACTTCTCTGGCACAGAAAAATAACAAAGGTTGGGCTCAGCCCTACTCCCGTGTTCTGTTCCTGCTTATCAGGGTGGGTTGAACTGAGTTGAGTTCCTGAGACTGGTGGTCCTGGGCACTGGCAATCCAGAGTCTCAGCTTTTCTGACTTACTGAGAATACAGTGGGCTCTAATCCCTAGCCCCCTTATCTCCATCCTGAGTGGAGGAGGTTCGGGCAGCTTGACCCATGTGGGGACGGGAGCATAGGAACTGAGGAGACCGCAGATATCATACACCTTCTAATCTTTAGAGAAGGGTTGAGTGGTTCAAGGCAAGGGATGCCAATGGGAATAGTAGACAAATTAAGACCTGGACTAAGTGGCAAGAAATTAGAGCAGGTGAAGTCCATTCTACCATCACATGTCTGGAAACTGAGGATGCCCTCACCATCCCCCATATTCATAATCAAGCCCTGACTATATTCACCACTAAGCTTTATTACTTTATTAGAAGTGAACAAGCAAATCAAGAGCTCAAGAACCAGGAATAGAACGGAGGCTGTTAGAGGCAACTCCTGGTTGGAGATGAACCTAGATGTGGTGAAGTTGGGTCAGAGAGTCCAAGCATTGTGGGGGCTGTGCTTCCTGTTCAGGGAGGGAGTGCAGAGAGAAATCACTGCTCCTGGGTGCCCCAGGAGATATAGTCCGGCCTTGTAGCTGCATGGTACTCATCAATAAGTTCCTGAACAACCTCCCGGGACCTGTCCATCTCATCAAAGTTATCCTTGAAGATGTCTTCCTTTCGGAACTGCTCCAGGAAGGCCCCACGCTTCCACAGCTTGTCGTACTGCTGGCAGGAACTTTCAAAGAGCTAAAAAGAAGGAAATCTTCAGAATGGAAGCAATTTTAGGGGATTAGGTGAGCCTGGTGAAGTTGGATAGTAGAATAGAATGGTCAAAGAACAAGAGACTGTACTCACCGAGGAGATACTGGTGTGGTTGGCCATCATGAGCCCACTGACCCGGTGGGCTGAGGGCAGGTAGGGAGACTTCCTGGATAGGGCCACCTGGATGCTGGCTGGGCCCCAAGGGATGAAGTTGGCCAACTTCCGTTCCCGGATCCTCTGTAGGCTCTTGTGGACCTGGGGTACAGAGTGGTGAAGGTTGCTTCTCCTCTACCCTGTGGTCCAGGGGGTAGGGCGAAGGGGCCTCACGTACCTGGGTGGGGTCTACCTCTCCCTGGATGATGTTGAGGATGGCAATGTAGCAGTGGTTGGTCTGGCGGTCTCGGCCTGTGGATACCATCACATTCTTGGGCTGTAGCAGTCGCCTCATGACATCCAGAACTGTGGTCTTCCTCACACTGGCCACCTGAGGGGAAGTGGGTCACAGGGACCAGGCCAGCATTCAGGGCTGAGTCCAGAGATGCACAGATAGAAGACAGTAATCATCTGGTTTGGGGCAGGATGGTACTGGGGTTTGAATTCAGGTTCTATGATTGCTAGGCAATCACTCTACCCCTTGAGCAAGCCCTTTTTGTTTTACTTAATTTTTCTAAAGGATCTCCCATTTTTGTCCTGACCAGCCTGGACCAACATAGCTGGAATGATAGGCACGCATAACCATGACATCTTGCTAACTTTTTCCCAGCTGGCCTGGAACCTGAGTAGCTGGGATTATAGGTGTGAACCACCATGCTTGGCCTAGGGAATGTCTTTAGCTCATTCTACACTGAATCTTTGCCATGGAATTAGAATATCAACTCTCTGTAGCTCAGCAAACTCATGCCCTTGTACAGGAGCAGAAGCTGATCCCATTCAGACCAGCCCCTGTAGGAACCAAAGGCAGAGGGATAATGCAGACTAGGCAGTAAGCAAGTTGTATGCTGTGTGCCAGTCTGAGCACAACACCTCTGGGGGCTGCAAAGGGAAGCTCCTGGGACAGAGGAAGAAGAGAAAGACAGGGTCAGGGTCTGCTGGACCTAGGGCCGGGGTCACTGAGGGCTCTTACTGATTGGTCCGTGGTGAGGGGGGTGTAGCCGGTCATGAGGAAGTGGAGCCGTGGTGTGGGAATGAGCGAGGCAATGAGGCCAATGAGGTCATTGTTCATGTAGCCAGGATAGCGCAGGGTGGTGGTGCTGGCTGACATGATGGTGGAAACCTGAGGACAGTGGGAAAAGGGTGCTGTGTCAAGGGCCTCAACCTGAGTGGCCCTCCCTTAATGTCTCTCCAGGAAGAGGGCTTCCAGTTCAAAGGAGTCCAGAACTAGGGGCTCACCAGCTGGTTGATCTGAGAGAAGGATGGGTTTTGGATGTGCAGGCGGTCTGTGGCGATCCGGTTAAGGGCTGTGTTGTCCAGTACCACCTGGGAGGACAAAAGGGGAAGGTCATAGCATCTTTTGAGGAGAAAGGGACATAAAAATAAGATATAGTTAGGCTGGGGCATGGCTCAAGTGGTAAAGTGACTGCCTAGCAAGCACAGAGCCCTGAATTCAAACTCAAGTACCACAGAAATAAAATATAGTTTAACTTCTGCTAAACTCCAAATCCAAGAAGTAGGTTTGCTACTTTAAAAGGAAAGTACTGTCTCTGGGGCATATAACAAGATATCTATAGACCATGCAGGACAGTAAATAAATATGTGAGTGCCCTCATGTGCCACACACAATGCCTGACTCTGGAGAGACCATAGAAAGAAAAACAGACATAGTTTTTGCCCTCAGGAGGCCTACAGTCAGTGGAGAGGGACAGGTATTCAAACAGGCTGTAAGGTGTAGCTCAGTAGTGGAGCACGTTTAGTATGCATGAAACCCTGGATTCAAATTCCAGTACCAAAAAATAAAAATAAATAAAACAGTCAAGACACACATTTGTAATCCCAGCTGAGGCAGGAGGATGCAAGTTGAAGGCCAGCCTGGAAAACTTAATGAGATACTGTTTCTAAATTAATTAAAACAATAGGAGAGTTTGGTTAACAATTTGGAATATGCACAAAGAAATCTGGTCTTGACTGGGTAGTTGGGAAGGTTTAGCTAAGAAAGTAACCCTTGATTTGGGAGTTCAAATATGAGTAGGCATTGAGTAGGCAAAATGAGGGTACAAGGTGGGGGTGGAGCCATAGTCACTATATTGAGAGTCTTTCTGCCTAAAAGAACTGGAAGCAACTTGGAAGTTGGGGCCTTGTTTCATAATTTGGGCCACACAGCATGACTTTGTTGGTCCTCTGTTCTCTGTGTGGGCCAGGGCTTGGGAAAGATAAAGGTGTATGTGATTGACTGGCCTTGGAGGGCAGTCAAAGCCTCTGACTTGCTCTTCCACTGCTCACCACACAGTCTGCGTTCTGGGTCAGCCTCTTGAGCGTGAGGAGTGAGTTGTAGGGCTGGACCACTACATCGCTCATCTCATCCTGGCTGGGAAACACTGAGTATGTCTGCACCAGCTTCTTAGGATACCTGAAGGCCAGGAAGAAGGAAAAAGGTAGATCCCTTTGGAAGGACCCCTATGACTGCCAGCCTCTGTCTTCTCTAGGAACAACAGGGACCATTCTTTTCTAAGTGCCTCTGTGTTCTTGTACAAAAGAAGTAAAAGCAGAGCTGGGTCTTCAGAGCCAAAAATAAGCCACAAGCATCAAATTCTGTAGGTCCTCTCCCCACCCTCCCCCCTGCCCACCATTACTGCTTCCTAAATGTTCCCTGGGTGGTCTGTCCCTATGATTCATTGGGGGCTAGTGGCAGATCTTCTAGCTTAAGAGACAAAAGTGACAACATAGAACGACTTTACCCAGTAAACCAGGTCTAATGCCCTCTCCTCAAATACCAGCTTACCTGTCATTAAGTCGCTCCAAGAGGTAGGAGCCCAGACCAGAACCCGTCCCTCCAGCAATGGAGTGACATAACTCAAATCCCTATATGGGGAGAGATGGAGAGGCAGAGTCCAAGGATCTAGAGGAGAGACTTCAGGCTTGTTTCATTCTCCACTTCAACACACCCATGTCTCATGGCTTCCTCTTTGTTCCTCCTGCCCCAAGACTCCTTGGCAATGTTCACAGCCTGAGCAGAAGCTGAATGATTCATGTCTAAGGAGCTGATGCCACCTAGATTATTATTGCCTTGAGATCAAGGACCTTATTTACCTTGGCATCCCACATGTGATGCCCTGAAACAGGTTTTCAGTTGAATTGTCTCCATCACATCACCTGTTCAGGCTACCACCTGATTTTTTTTCCCCCAACACTCTAAAATGAGGGATAACCTCACCTCTAGACTGTCACTTCCATCTGCCTCTCGGTCTATGATGTCAAAGATATCTTCATGGATTTTCTCACCCTGTACAGAGATGAGTAGAGGAGTGTCAGGCCAAACACTCATTTTAGCACCCTGGGACACTGTTGCCGCCCTGAAGCAGAGCCTCTGTGTAGTCTTCAACCAGAAATACTACTTTGTGAATGATTTACACAAAATTTGCATAAACTTTTCCCTAGCTGTCCCTCTTATCAGGGTATCCATTTGTCTCTTATTGTCAATCTAGTCTGATTAAATTCCAAGATTGCTTGAGCCTGCCTTGCCATTGGGTACCACTATCAAAGGAGTGTGGAATCCATGAACACCTGGGAGAATCCCCTGGCCCAGTTGTTGCCAGCTCCTCCTCCATGCTCTGCCAGGTAGATGTTCTCTGGGTTGTAGAGTTTGGCGTATGGGGAGTTGAGGATGGAGTGGATCACCCGGGGCTCCAGGTCCAGCAGCACTGCCCTGGGGATGTAGTGCTCATCGTCTGCCTGTCAAGGTGAGGGCACAGGAAGGGGCTCAGCCTCCCAACTCATTTTTCTTTGCGGGGCTGGGTATGGAACCCAGGGCCTTGTACATGCTAGGCAAGCACTCTACCACTGAGCTGCCTCCCCACCCCCCTCTCAACTCTGACTCCTACGGGTCCTCCCTACTCAAGGCCCCACCTCCCACCCTGGACCCTCTGCCTAGCGGGTTTCCCAGTACCAAGCCGCTGCCCTTCCCTTCAGGGCCCCTGGACTACTGCTGGCCCTGGTCTAGTCGCTGGGGGGCACCTGGTAGAAAAAGACGTCCTTGCGGTCAGTGCCCTCAGTGGCGAACTCCTCCACGATGCCCTCGGGACTGATACCATGCTCGGCACACAGTTGTTTCCAGAACTCGAACCCAACTGGGGGGAGGAGAGGAAGACGCCCGGGTCTGTTAGAGCCATAAGGCCTGAGGAGCCCGGTGTTAGGCTCAGAGGCTGTCATACTCAAGAGAGGTGGACCCAAGATGCCTGGGCCTGGGAGTCATCACAGCCCAGGGCTAGAGGGGCAGTTCTTGGTCTGGCTCATCATGCGCAGTAGGGCAGGTGGTTCATGAAAGAAAAAGGGGACTGGTGGGTGCCAGGCAGTTGAGTGTGGCCCTAGGGGTAGAAGCAGAGGTTGGCGGGGCCCGGCGCTCGCTTGCTCACTCTGGTTGCCGCACTGGCCCAGCTGCAGGGTGATGATCTCCCGGGGCATCGCTGCTCAGACGTGGCCCCGGCCGGGCGGGAGTCACGGCTGAGACAAATGCCTGGCAGCCGGGAACCCAGGATTCAGGGAACGCGAGCTCTCTAGGTCTTTTGCCGCGGGTGCTCGGTCTGCGCGTGTGCAGTGGGGGCCTCTCCTCAGCCGCCGAGCCGTGGAGCCCAACCTGGGCATCATTTTCTCCCTTAGCAGTCGCAGCTGGAATTCAGCACAGGCGCAGAGTGAGGCCACGCCCCCTGCTGCCACTGTTCTGCGCCTGCGCCTTGAGACTTTCGCAGGGTCGCGACCAGAGTATGGGGGAGGGGAGGGAAGGGAGGAATCAGGTGGACGCTGCTGTCCAGGTGTGCGAAGACCTATCTAGGTAGGTGAGAGATTCTGCAGGCTGTGCAAGCTCGAAGGGCTGGATTCAAGCCAACTTTTTAAAAAATTGTGTTACGATATACATAGTAGAAAAATTACCATTGTAATCATTTGTAAGTTCTATGGCATTAAGTACATTCACATTGTTCTTTAACGACCATCAGCACCTTCCTGAACGTTCTCATCTTCCCAAACTGAAACTCTGTACGCTTTAAAGAGTAACTTTCCTTTCCTCCTCCCCTCCGCCTGACAGTCGCCATTCTTTGTCTATGAATTTTTTTTTTTTTAATATGGACTGTTTCACGAATTTGGGTTTCATCCATGCTCAGGGGCCATATTAATTTTCTCTATATGTTCCAAGCTGAAGCGAGCACGGTCTATGAGTTTGATTTCTCTGTGAACCTAAATGGAATCCTACAGTATTTATCCTGTGTTGACTTCTTTCACTTAGCATGATGTCTCAGGGTTCCTTCATTTTATAGCTTGTGTCAGAATTGCTTTCCTTTTTAAGACTGAATTTCCATTGTAAGTACTACTTTTTGTTTAGACATTCATCCCTCTCTGGCCCCTTGGGTTGCTTCTACTCTAGTTCTTACCAATGCTGCTGCTTTGAACATAGGGGTACAAATACTTCTTCATGTCCCTGCTTTCAGTTCTTTTGGATGAATACACAGAAGTAGAATTGCTGGATCAAATGATGATTTCATGCTCAATTTTTTAAGGAATCCTCATATTTTCCACAGCAACTGTAAAATTTTACATTATCACTAGCAATGCAGAAGGTTCCAAGTTCATCGCCCCCCACCCCAACAGTTGTAACTTTGTCTTTTCATAATAGCCATCCTAATGGTGGTGAAGTGATATCCCATGGTGATTTTTATTTTAAATTTCAGAAAACTTTGATGATATAAGCATGATTTTGCATTTTAACTAGTTTTTTATTTTGAAATTTTATGTAAGTGGTATGAAAGCATAAAATTATAGAAAAGCAGTGTGTGTTTTTTCTCCCTACACTAAGGTTGAGATTTAGCCATGTTTATACATGTATATCTATTTATTTATTTTTGGTCCCAGGGCCTCACACATGCTAAGCACATGCTCTACCACTAAGCAACATTCCCAGCCCTGTTTCATTCCTTTTATACTATTTCATTGGAAAATGAAACCAGTTTATTCTACTTTTATAAGCCCAGGAGTTGTCTGCTTGTGAACATAAATGAAAATGTCTGTATAGGGACACATGTGACTTTAGCTTTACCAGATTTTGCATATTTTCTCTTAGATGGCTGTTCAATTTATACTCTTATTAGCAATGGAGTTCTCATTTCTTTACATCCATATCTACACTTGGGTTAGCAGATGCTAATTTTTGTCAGTTCCGTGGGTGCTGGATGGGATTTCATGGCTGAAATTTCCATTTCTGATCACAAGCAAAGTTGATTCATTTTTCTTTTTTCTTTCTTTTCTTTTTTTTTTTTTTGGTGGGACTGGGGTTTGAACTCAGGGCTTTGTGCTTACAGGTGTTCTACATCTTGAGTCACACATTTAGTCCACCATTGTCCTTTGATTATTTTGGAGTTTGTAAACTATTTGCCTTGTCTGGCCTAGAACCTCTATCCTCCTGATCTCATCCTTCCACATAGCTAGGATTACATGCATGAGCCACCGGTGCCCAGGTCACTTTTCTTTTGTGTCTAACCATGTTCGAGATTCTTCCTCCATAAATTATCTGTTCATATTCTTTGCCCATTTTTCTGTTGTGTTGCTTCTCTTAGACATTTTAAGATAGTCTGTAGACCAGGTGCCAGTGGCTCACATCTGTAATCCTAGCAACTCAGGAGGCAGAGATCAGAAGGATGGCAGTTAAAACCAGCCCCAGGGAAGTAGTTCTTGAGACACTATCTCAAAAAAATCCATTACAAAAATAAAGCTGGTGGAGTGGCTCAAGCAGTAAGAGTGCATGAGGCCCTGAGTTCAAACCCCAGTGCCACCAAAAAAAAAAAAAAAAAAAATTCTATAAATTAATTCTCAAGTCCATGGCTTTTTTTCTTTAATGGCACTGGGATTTGAACTCAACGTTTCAAGCTTGCTCGGCAGGCGCTGTACCTGTTGAGTCACATGTCCAGCCTATGGGTTTTCTTTATACGTCGCACATGGAGTCTTTTGCCATGGATTTAAAAAAAAATTTTTTTTTTCTGGTGCTGGGGAAACCCAGGACCTAGCAAAGCATACACTCTATTACGGACCTACAGCTCCAGTTCAAGATTTTAATTTTCATATACATAAAGTCATCCATCTCTCCCAGTATGTTTTGCATGTCTTACACCTTGTTAAAGAAGCCTTTCCCTATCCTAGTACCATACAGATAGTCTATGTTTTCTTCCAAAAACTCCATAGCAGTTTTGCTTGTTCCCTGTAGGTCTTTAATTCATCTGGAATTTATTTGGCAGCCTGCTGTGAGATAGGGATCTACTTTATTTTTTCCATATGGATGGCCAATTGTCTTCAAACCAATTATTGAGGAGTCAGTGCAACTCCCCCACCCCCTGGAACATTCCAAGCCAGCACTCGCTGGGACATGGGCCGGCTTCTGGCCTCTCTTGGGCTCCCGTGGTCTGTCTGGCTGTCCCTGTCTGGCCGGCTTTCTCTGGGAGCCGCTGCAGAGGAGCTGGCAAAAGTACCACCGCCAGGAGTCGTGCTCAGAGGAGATTTTTTGTTTTCTTTCTCTTTTTTTTTAAAGAGAACTCGGATGCCTTCCAGCCCCCGCCGGACCAGAATCCTCTGGGCTTCTGCAGAAGGTTCTGCCTTGCCCCACACCCACCCCCTCCTTGTCCTCTCTTTGCCCCGCCCAGCCTCCAGATCTTACCATCTATCTCTGGCCTGGAAGATGCCCCATTGTGTGGCCTTTTCAGGGAGGTTCTGACTGCATTCTTTGAAGTTTAAGAGTTGGGTCCAAGCTCATTCATTACCTTGAGGCGCCCCCACCCCAACCCCTCAAAGGCCACTGTCTTCAGAGGCTTTGCCAGGACCCTCTCCCAGAGTGTGCCCAGGTGGCTTTAGAGATGAGAGCAAACTTGCCTCCTCACCGTGTGAACCTGGTAGGGCTCAGTTTACTGCCTTTGAAATGAGCTGTAAACAGCTTATGAACCCTTGGGAAACAGGAGAGTTCAATTTCAGCCTTTCTTGTGATTAATAACAGTACCTTACTCCAACTTTTAGTTGGTCAGAAGTGGGAAAACTTTCTTCAAATCCTAGTTTATAGGCAAGCAGGTTAGAACGTGTAGATTTACCCAAATTGGAGAATTGGCAGTGAAAGTTTCATGTGAAAAGCCACCTCTGCCGAGCCCCAGTGGCTCACACCTACAATCCTAGCTACTTGGGAGGCTGAGATCAGGAGGAGGTGGCCTCAGACCAACCAGGGGAAATACTTCATGAGACCCCTATCTCCAAAATAACCAAAGTCAAATGGACTGAAGGTGTGGCTCAAGCGGTAGAGAGCCTGAAGCCCTGTTGGTTAAATGAGATGATGCCATGAGCAGGTAGCACATGCCTGACTGAGTAAACACTCAGCAAACATTAGCTGCTATTATTGTCACTAGATGCAATCGGAACTGAAGTATACCTTGGCTGCTGCTGCACATGACAGGTCTTATTTAGGGTACAAGCAAAATGAGTGTTTACTTTAAATAATTAAAAAACAAGCCCATGTATTTATGATTCTACAAATTCCATTTCAGGTGTAACTTCTATTGAGGTTGAGCAGGAAATCCAAGTTCATGATCCTTCAGATCCAGAATCTCAAGGTCATTTATCCATGTTTTGATTGTGGCTGTTGACTTGGCTCCAAGTGCTCTTATACAGGTTGTGATAACATAGTTGTGGTGATCTTTTGTCTGAGGCCTGGCTTTGTCTTTGATAATAAATGTAGCAGTTGTAAACTTAGCAAGTGTGTTAAATGTCCAGAGTCTTTATTGGATATCCCAGGTTGAATAAAACGTGTTTTTGGATCCACCTCAGTTTCTGGCCTTTCCTGCATACCTGGCCTGAAGGATGTCTGGGGCTCAATTATCTCGTGGGAGTGAGGAGATGTAGGTGCGAGAAGGGAAATTGAGGCTGTTTCTCAGGAACAGGATGGGGAAGAGCATGTGCTTATCACACAAAAGCAGCTAATTAGAGCTACTTCCAGTCATGAGACAGGGAACCTGTGACCCACAGGAGTTAACTTTCAAATTAAAGAAAGGAAAAATTAGCCAGGTACTGATGGGTCACACCTGTAATTCTAGCTACTCAGGAGGCAGAGATCAGGAGGATCATGGTTCAAAGCCAGCTGGAGCAAACAGTGCTCAAGACCCTATCTCAAAAAAAAAAAACCATCACAAACAAGAGATGGTAGAGTGGCTCAAGGTGTAGGCTGTGAATTCAAACCCCAGTACCACAAAAAAAGAAGAAGAAAAAAGAACCAAATGGAGCATCTAACGTGATGTTAAAAGAAAGAAAGGAAAAATTAAAACAATGAAGGAACTGAAGCTCTTTTTTTTTTTTTTTTACTTTGGATGCCACTGGGGTTTGAACTCAGGGCCTCCATGCTTGCTAGGCAGGCCTCTACCACTTGAACCAGTCCACCAGCCCTCTTTTTTTGCATTGAGTATTTTTGAGGTAGCGTCTTTCAAATTGTTTGCTCAGACTGATTAGGCGTGAGTCAGTGGTGTCTGGCTGAATTTCTTTACATGAAGGGAATTATGGTAAATTCATGTTTTGATTTTGAAATAGATCAAAACAGATTGGGCTTCATTGTTTTTGTTTTCTGTATTGTTTTCTCAATGGATAGGAAATAAGCCTAAAAATAATCAAGTAAAACATTATGGTTTGTTTGTTTATTCT